ATGTATAAAACCACAATAAAATGTATTTTTAGTTACACAGGATACAAACACGGAAGCAAGATGTATAATTAGGATTATTTATAATAAACATTAATAAATTATTGCAATTTCTTTAACCATAAAGAATAACTAAATCCTTCAGGACGGTGTCTCATCAATGCACTGAACTCACTATGTTATCCCTCTGACAGCCTCCACATGTTCTCACTGTAATTTCCCCTCATGAATGAATTTATGCTGCACTAATCTGAATGTTCGAGAGGAAGTCGAACGCATTTCACTCGCAGTACTCGAGCTGACTTACCTTTGTTGGAATGACGACGTACTCACGACGTGGAGGCTTAAAAATAGCCAAATCTTGTACCCAACCATTGGTGAACTGGATGTGCGCCTCCAGAGATTTATAATTGTGAAACTGGTTCGCCGTGTACGCGCTGACTCCACAGGTACGAGAATAGATCAGGCTACGTCAACGGCGGTTGGTCCTCAGGGTTTCTACTCCACTGCTGTTATTTCATACGGGTCCACATTTTCAATGCGCGCTATTTTTTTGCAAGTACCGTCTCGTTGCATCCGGTCGCAGTCTATCTCTGTACCGTCCTTTTTCTTTTGAGCTGCTTTTAATTGCGGTTCGTAGCACTCTTCCTTCCAACACAGTGGCCGTGTCCCTGTCACCTGGACTCCTCTGTAATATTTATTTGACACTTGATTGAATTTTATTTTTCTGTAACTCAGAGTATTGACCACATTCTAACATTACACGTTCAAGTGTTTCATACTTCCCCGTCTCATGCTTATTCATCTTTTTTAGAGTGTTATTTAAACCTGTATGACCAAATCTTACTTTTGAGATTATATCGTCTTCTCTCTTACTGTTATGACTTCTTCTACAGTGTCCAGCTGCTCTCTGTATACCATAATAATATCTACCTTTTCCTTCTGTCCCATTGTGCCTGACACGCGTCCTTTAACCTAATTTTTACTATATTTTATATCCATATCTACATGACTTCTTCTCGTTGCACCTTTTGCAATCTTACCGGCCTCTTCCTTTCCATCTACACCGATATGTTCAGGAATCCATAAAAATGTATTTCTATTCCTGTTTGATTCTACAGATTAAACGAATTATATTAAAAAACAATATCGTGTCTAGACTCCAAACACATAAGACATATCCTCAATAGTGCGCTACCAGAGTCCGAGCACATCAAACACTTCCTACTGGTGCCTCCTCCACCCAGTTTGCAGTGATTAACACTGCTACAGTTCTCCAGCTTGTTTCTGGAATAACAAACACAACACCCACTTCATTATCTAACAATTATGCTGCATCAGTTTACATGTTCTGTCCACATGTTCTGAATACTCTCCCCTTATGTGATCATATACCTGGCTCTTCCTTTGTGTGATGAATAAAATCAGTTGTCTGGTCATATATCCATGGCAGTAAATTTGAAAATGGTTCTGCTGGACTAATATGTTCGTTACTAATTCCTGTCTCATTTATTTTTCCCCTATAATCCAACCAAAACGTCTTATTCGTTCACTTTTTTACTTTTTCTTAAACAAGGTTTAATTATATTCTGAGCTTTATGATTTTCACTGTGTCCCTTTAACTTTGCCCAGTAAGTTAAAGCTATTTCATGTCTTCTGATTTCTAATGGTTGTTCACCCACTCCAACGTGCAGTGTGGACACTGGTGTAGTTTTAATGGCCCCACAACAAAACCTCAGCGCTTGACACTGAATTTTATCCAAGTTATTTAACAATGTTTTAGCCGCTGAACCATAAAGCAGAACTGAGCTAATGAAGTCTTTATAAAGCTTTTGATGCTGTCCTATCTGCACCCCACGCGCTGCCTTTTAAACATCTTCAAATATCCAAAACCTTTTTACATTTCTGTTATTCCCCAATATGTGTTTTCCATGTAAGCCTTTTATCAAACCACATACCTAAATGTTTAAAGCAATCAACCTGTTCAGTTTCATTCCCATACAATTTGAGATTAAACAGCTAATCTACTCTCTGTAAAAATAATCCAAATGCCTCCATCATCAGCAAATAATGATTGATCTATATTATTAAATACCTCGTTAGGGTTCAGGGTTAGCCTAACCCCTGAGCAGCATTGCCCCCCCCTACTGAAGGACCTGTCCCATCCTGGCAACAATCTGTTCCAACTTCTGTGATCCGGCAGAAAGTTCCACATCATCCGGGCAAGGACAGAGACTCAAGAGGAGCTTCTATCCCCAAGCCACCCGAGCCCTAAACCATAACATGAATACATGTGTGCATATAATGTTCTTCTCTCGCCCTCTGCACAGTCGAGGAGCGTGTCAGGATTCATTTCACTGCGTGTTGTACTTGTAGAACTGTGCATGTGACAAATAAAGAATCTTGAATGCTAACGCCTACCTTCCTGCTATTTCCAACTTTCCAGCCCCTGAATTTGGACACAGCCATGATAAAAATGCCTCCCCATCATTGACTGGTTCATCTAGAGGCCCTATATTGAGAAACATTCCTTAAACCGGTGTAAACAGATTCCTGGTCAGTGACTGCACCCAGGAGCTTTAGCTCGCCGAGCCTCAGGTGATCTCAGGACGTCACATGAGAGGGTGAGGCCTTGTTTCGCTGTGACTTCATCCCCTTTCCCCAGTGACATAATGACCCACGCCCTTTTTTCCACACCATGGCTCATGTGATGACTCACATGATCAATAGTGTGTCAGTGATCCCTCAGAACCAAAGATATCAGTCATCATATCAGTGGAATAATCTAACGCAGTCAGCCATGACCTTATTCCTGTTTAATGTTTTCATTTTGATCTTTGCTCCATAACAGAAATAAAAACAGCTGTGAGGACAAACATGGTGCACTTTATTCACCCTTTATTTTTAATAAGTATTATAGAGATGACGTTCCTCCATCACTGACACATCTGTATTGTAACCTGTTTGACTTTTATTTTTATCAGATTGTGTGAAACTGGCCTGATATTGTTTATAAAGAGATCCAACAAAAGTCACAGTACCTCCACACTACATGTAATTCTGCTCCAACACAGCGTTCCCACAGAGGCATCGGCCTTCAAGCCCCGTGAACTGCATTTTTGTTGCTGCTGCTTACAAACGTAGAACCTTTTTACAAGCTGCTGCTTTCATCTTCAATCATTTGTGTGCTCCATTTTTAAACGGTGAAGCCCCAACAAACGTAAATGGAGCCTGTAAATGAACCATAAAGGTTGTTTGTTTTTTTTGTTTTTTGTTTTTTTTTTTAAACGGACACTGAGCGAGTCTGTTCCTAAAACCCTTAGTAAGAAGTACTTTCACCTGATCTGACGTTAATCTCCCGTACAAAGCCTCCCATGTGTCCGTCCCTGCTTTCCTTTCTATTTCTCAAAGAAAAGATACGATAAATGAAACTCCAGAAGCTCAAAGGTGCTGTAACATCTGCGTGTTCAGTTTATTAACAAAGATAAAGTCTGGTCCTGGAAGGAGAGTGCTGAAGAAGCACGAGATCATTTTCCACCACAAAACAGAGACAGGACGTGTTGTTTAGTCGTACACTCCCAGTGTTCCTAATATGTGACGATTATCAGCAACAGTCAGACATAAAAACACCAACGTCAGCTGTACTTCACAGAGATCATCGTCTGTGTGGAGAGACGATGTGCGTACTACTCAGAGCTTACAGAGTATTAAAGATCAGAAAAGAGAATCTTGTTATTATGTCCTAACATGACAAATGTTTCTGAAATGTGTTTGTCGCATTTTTCTAAAACCACAACATGAAATAAAGAAAACGAGCGTGACTCGCTGCCGAGCCGTGAAAACACACGAACCACATGTTGAGCCCCTGTCACTGAGTCCACTGGTGGACAGAAGACAGTACGGACCCGTCAGATCGCTGCAGGTGCAGGAAAGACCGAGAGCTGCAGCGTCCAGATCAAACCATCGCTCAGTCTACTCTAATACAAATGTCCTGTTCAAAATACACAAGGATGTGTCCAGAGTTCACAGCTGATTGCATACTGTATAAGCTGGTGAAGAAGTAGCTAGACCGAACATTTGAGCTCACTGGCAGCTCCACGGGAACGAGTGATCTCGGGTCGTGGACACGTGATGAGGTGTGACCCTGTGCCTCATCTCGAACGAACGAGGACCATAACCAAGGTAACGACTGGTTTAAGATGGTGTCCTGGGTTAATGACCAAGAAAGCTGCACCTTAAGAATAAATCCACAGAATGTTTTAACAACTAAATCATTTGGTATTCTCAAACTACAGTAAGAACCTTACTCTGTCACACCTGACAGTATTTGGGAAAAGGGTGTCATTTTTCCGCTACATCCAGCACCAGCTCTGAAAACCTGCAACAGCGATGCAGACATGCTGCTGCAGGTCAACCTGAAACCACTGCAGCTGAAGAGGACAACATGACCGCCTGGTTATCGTCGGACTGCCAGAAACTTTGGTTCCTGGCATTCATTTAAGCTAGAGAACCATGCAAAGGCCGAGGGCACGTTTGATCACCAAGGCAAGCCTCAGCCATGGAGGCCCAAACCCAATGATGATATCGTGCACATAAAGCAGTACGCTGTAGTGTGCTGTGGTCACCTGCAGGTGGCTCAGATGAGACCCTCATTCTTGACCCTGTATAAAGCTGAAATGGAGCAAATCAAGCCTGTAACCCTGAAGCCAAACGTTTACCACTGACGGCTCTGTCACAGGTGTGTGCGGCCACAGTTTGTGCTTCTACAAAGAACAAGGTCACCGGCGCTTTTCTAAGGTCGCTTCATAGGAAGACAGATTGGCCACATAGTTATATAATCAATACACAAGTAAGGCTCATTACATTCAAAACTTCCAGAGTGCATACTTTTCATTGCAATACAACATAGGTTTTAATATCTGCATGTTTCATCGCCACGACTGCTGAAGCTAACGTACGGGGAAAGAAAGCACAAACAAGCCCAAACAAAGGGAAACACAGTGGTAGTGTAGTCATGGAAACAACCAACACCAACGAAACCCAGCTAGCTAAACCAACGGCAAACTAAAGCCTGGGGACCAAGGGAAACGAAATTAGATGAAAAGCACGTGTGTGTAGTACAACTGAAGGTGGTCACATGTGCTGCAGACAGAAGACAGACACTGTTTTGTATGAGAAAGTCCAGAGGGCAACACGGAGGCGGCAGGTCAGCCTGGACTCCAGACCTGCCGAAGGTGAAGATGATGAGGTATACGAGCCCGCCGGACCCAGCTCATCCTCACACACACAAGCGCACACTTAGTCCATCTTCTCCTTGTGAACCAACTTGGGGGCGTCCACAAAGTCTTGGCCATTAAACAGGATGATAGTGGCTGTAATTGCACTTGCAGCACCCCAGAACATCACATAAGCCAGGGTCTCTGTCCATGTATCACCTGGAAGGCAGACAGCAGACATCTCATCATCATCATCATCATCATCATCAGGAGCACTTTTAGGCTGTTACTCTGTAAACCAAGCAGCTTCTAACGAGCTGCTTTCACGACACAGCTTTGATCCCTTCGGCCAAGTGTGCGGTTGGATTCTCACCCTGGAATGTTTTGCAGAACAAATTCAAAGCAAAGAATAAAATTATATTAATTATTAACAAATATCAGGAATATTCTTTAAGCTCGCCTTTAAAAATACGATGCAATTAGTGCAATCTAGAAAAAGAAAGGAGGCAGCGAGAGACTTTATCCAGACAGAAATGGAACCTGAAGCTGCAGAAGTCTGGTCCATATTTTACATGAAGACTGTAACTGTTGCTTCAACGTGTAGTTTGGTGACTACTTTTACTAAACAACAGCAACAAAGCTTGTGAAGCTGTTCTGGTTGAACTTAAAAAGATCTGAGATAAAGTTACCAAAATCCTGAAGATGTTCACACGAGGCCTGTTTGATACTCATATTACACAGTGGAGGGCTGGCAAACACTTTCCTAAACAAGCACGACGGCTGTCTCTGATGCATAAAACTATTTGATAAGAACTGGATGTTGCACCATCAACATGCATGTTTCAGTGCTGACTGGTTGTGCTTCTTTCCAGTTGTATCGAGACATGTTGGTCCTTTAATACTGACCTATTTAAGCTCAGTATCTCTGATAAATCCACAGGCAGTAAAAAAGATGGATGTAGCTAGTGTGACGTCAGCGGAGTATCATTTTGATGGTGAGTGTTTACATTGTTGCAAGCAGCTGTGACTGAGGCTGACACCAGCATGATGATGGTGTCCTTAGATCATTGGACTTTCTGTTTGTCAGGGTGCTGTTTTCCAAAAGAAGTCTTTTTGCAACCACGGGCCAGCTGTGGCTCAGGATGTGGACGACCAATCAGAGCATGAGCAGCTCAATCTCCAGCAGCTTTTGCCTGCATGTCAAAGTATGCTTGGGCATCCATGGGAGTGCCTCAGTGTCAGGTTAGAAGTGAAGGGCTTGTTGTTAAAGTGCTGCGAGTGCTTCAAAATGCCCATGCATTTACCAGAGCACACACACATCACCCCTTGATAGCCATTAAAATGCAAGTTTGGGTCAAGCTGCATGATGAGCTGAAAACTACGTCCATCATTTATACCATCTATAGTTAAACCCTGGATTCATCTCTATAGCCTGGGAATTACACCAAGTTCTCAATGAGCTCAGTCACTCACTTCATACTGAATAAAACAAGTGCTTTAGGAACTGGACAGTGCTCGTCTGTACCAAACTAAACTGGATTAAGGATCAGCAGTTGTACATACCAGCCATGAGAAGACAGACAATGCACATGGAAAATGCCACCAGCATAATGATGGGCAGCTGCAAAAATAAAAACACGAGTTAGTCACAACGTCCTGCTGCTGGTGACGACAGGACACGGTGCTGATATACTGACTGTGAGGAACTTCCAGTCCTTTTGCACACGAAGCGGAGTGGGTCCGTCCGACTCATCGACGGCAAAGTTACCCAGGAACAGGTCGATGGAGTCCTGAAACCAGCAACAACGCACATGCATAAATCTGAACGTGGCTGCATTACACCTCATTTCTGCAACAAATAAGCCAAAGCAGAGCCGGTGAATGTGGACCCGGTTGTATTTAAGAAGGCAAGTCTGACGTTAACCAGTGCCACCCTCCATCCAACCAGGGTCACGGGGGGTGGGGCTATCTCAGCAGTCTCATGGGCGCCGTTACCAGTCTGTTGCAGGGCTAACAGATAACCATTCAGACCTATGGGCAACTCAGAGTTACCAGTTAACCTGTCCCCACTAACTGCATGTCTGTGGACTGTGGGAGGAAGCTGGAGAGAACATGCTCCACACAGAAAGACCTGCTGGAGGAAGTGAACTCAGGACCATCCTGCTGTGAGGCAACAGTCATTTATGTGTTTCCATAGAGAACGTTCTGCTCGTCTCCTCAGAACTTTGGGTTCAGAGTAGAGATGGACCGATCCGATATTACGTATCGGTCCGATACTGACGTAAATTACTGGATCGGATATC